CAGGTATGCGCCCCTGTTTCACGGGAAGTGTTGAACGACGTACGCGACGGGATTAGGGCGTTATTCGACCAGTGGGCCATATTCGTTAAACCAGGTCACCTTGCCATACTAATCTTGGTTCACGCCAAGGGGGTGATTACGAGAGCACCCAGACGTAAACGGATAGATAGATAGATAGATAGATAGATAGATAGATAGATAGATAGATAGATAGATAGATAGATAGATAGATAGATAGATAGATAGATAGATAGATAGGCGCCGAAAATGCTCACAGTTCGGAAATAAATAAATACACGAACAAGAAGGAAGAGAGCCCGCACAAGCGCAGGCTAACAGCAAATTTTATTTTCTAAAAAGATTAAGAAAAGGTAAGGAGGACACGTGCTTATGATAACAAGTAGCGGTTTGTTACTCAATCTCGAGTTTATACCGGTTCACCAACGGTCACGCGACACATTCTCTCTTTCTTCTTGTTCATGCTTTTTTTTTTGCTGTCAAATCTCATCCACAATGCAATATCAACTCGCCCAATACTCGGTCCTTTTAAGTAACCTTTGCACCCACAATTACACCGAAAGTATACCCAGGGTAATTTTGGCCGCCTATACCATAAACTTCGGCTAGGTATACTGCGTAAAAGTTACGCGTACTAAACACCTTGTTAACGAAAATGACGAGCCATTGGCCATACCTGGAATAACTCCACGTCGAACCCTTGGGAGTGTCGGTTGCAATTGCCAGGACAAAGCGTAGTGGATGTCCTGATATCCGGAGTCATTATAAATGGTCGAGGGTGCGATGCTGTCGGGCGTTCTGGCAGGGAGCACCCAACTGTGCATTTTCCTACTTGAAATTTCACCAGTTTCAGTCTCACTATGCTACAGTTCTTCGATAGTACTATCCACGATACCCTGTTGCGCATGTCGGTGCAGTCGGCGCACTTGTCACAGTAAGCATACAGGCCACCACGTACGTCAGGGCCGATGACTCCACCGGCCAGGTCAACCGCAGCTCCGAAGGTGGGGCCAGTAGCCGCAAGGCAAAACACCTTGGTGATCGTCCGGGTGCCTCGGCGACAAAAAAAAAAATGCTGAAGGTCAATAATACCTTGGTGCCCGAGAAAGGAAAGCAGAATTTGAGCCGAAGGAACTTCCAGGAGCGAAATTCCGGCGAATCAGGCAGTTTCTCTGCTACAATTTCCTGCTCAGATGAGACAATGCTGAGGGTCCCCTCGCAAGTCAACCATGCATGTGAGAAGCTTTCAAAGAGGCGCTTCTTTAACGTCTCGTTGCCTTGCACAAGCCCAAATACACTGTTAAACTGCGCCTAGCCCACTCCAGCTATGGAAATGTAAAGATGTGAAGAACACGCAATTCCCGGGCCACCTTCAGAGCGTAGATCAGGGATTGCGGCCAACGCATATCAACGCATTCCCTTAATCTGAAGTCAGGTGATCGGCGTGATGTTGGCAACTGCAAGCGTCGCAGCTTGGCACACCTAAAAACGATCTGAGCGAAGCTTTCGCAGATGGTGGTGCTGGGTAACACGTGCTCAAGATAGGTTGTAAATGTGCAAATACCACTTTTTTTTTTCTGTTTGACAGGAAAGAATCATCGCGCTTGCGCAGTAGAGTCACGTGCTCTCGCACGCAGACGGGCAACGGCAGCGCCGCTTTTACCACCTGGCGGACATCCAACTAGAAATAAATCACAACCAGAACTATGGTGCAAGAATACTTTAGGTGAGGGAACGCCAGGACTATCCACTGCGTGATAATGTTCTGCTTCGCTAGGAGCCTGGGAGATGGCGCTTCAAACCTCGCCTCGGCTTCCATTCGGCCCTTGTCAGTGCAGGAAAGCCCCGTGATGTAGGAAAGTAGCAGTGCTCAGTTATCGTCGCCACAACACCCTCGCCGCGCCGTTGACCTCCTCCCTTATCAGCCCCTCTTTCGCGGCACTGCTCTATAGGCGTGTCGCGTGGTTGATATCACGCGATTACCCGGTTTTCTCTGATTTGGAAACGTCGGCCACGTGCCTGATGTGGTTTGCGGAATTAGCCAGCAACCCGCCACGATCCTCAGTCCGGCGAGCTATCTATCGGCACGTCGCAAATGCGGACATAACCAGTCCCTCCCCGCCAAGTGCTCGCTTCGCGGCTTTCGCTCGCCTAAAGTATTCTTGCACCGTGAACAGAACGTCTCTTTCGTGACGTCACGCGTGAGGTCACCAAATGCAGGGAAAGGACGCAAAACTGAGAGGAGGGTTGCCACAAAAGCTCTTCTTTTCCACTTGGCGTTCAAGCGGAAAGGCAGTGCGCCGTGTCGCCTGTAGGCAGACAGAAATTAGGTGCCTTCTTCCTTTTCCTCACGAACCACTAACCAACCAACCAAGCGGAATGTGTCCGTGCTTTCCTCCAGGTCCACTGGCCGCTTGGGTGATGCGGCCATTCGTAATTTTTTTTAGATACACAGATATGTGGCATTTAACGTCCCTAAATAAAAGTACATAAAGAAGGAGAAGTCGAGGCAAAACTTCCGCTTGGTAAGCAGTGACGGCTCGATCGTTTGATGATCATTGGAAGTCACATTCAACTGCATGGGTGAACTGGCCCATAGTTATGTAATCAGGTGCAATTTTCGGAACGTAAAAAATGAGGTGTTGAAGAAGTCGTCCAGAATCGGGTTTTTCGCACATGTGATGTTACTTGTTGCTAATGTACATTCGGACATTATAGGATCGCGTAATTATGCTTTTGAGTAAAAAAAAAAGTTAGTATACTGGAGTCGGTATTCTGATACCGGCATTTCTGTGCTTGTGTAAGTGAACATGTATACGCATATTCGAACATGTTGGCGCACAAACCTAGTGGTTCCCATTGTGAAAGCAAAAATACTTTGTAGCCAATTTCTTGGTTTCACTTCTGCAGCTTAAAAGGCTAGTTTACGGATCTTATGGTTAGCTTAGTACAAGTAAACATAAGCGCCCGGATTTCACCGTTTGCCTTGCACAAGTGAAAAGATGCTGTACAGTTTAGCAACCTAGCGTTTCGGGCGTGTTGGTACGTCATACTGAAGTTTTTTTTAGTGCAATAAAAAAAGGTTCTCATTTTATATGCAAACCTACTGGTGCACGCATTAAGTGGCATCCGTCGGTAAGTTGACGTATTGAAATACGGAATTGTCGGCTCCTTTTGCGTAGCTTAGCATGTTGGTGTGCGGCATTTGCTGGTTCATATTTAGTGGGCACTGCTTAGAAAATGCGCTTTCTAACGCCGATTTTATACACGTGATTGGTGCATGAATCATTGAAATTTCCACACCTTCTTTTTTCCACTTCGTGGTAACTCACGCTTCCCCTGAAAGAAGCGCTATATTTTTTTTCTTTCTATTATTCCGATGTCAGTCTTCTTCGTCGTCGTGTTGATGGTTACGAGAACGGCGCTGAAATTCCAGACAACAATAGAGATATAAGTATACGCCCTGATGCGAGATTTAATGCAACACTCCGTAGTCTGCGTACACTAACAAAATTTTGCGATTCAGCTCATAAACTTTATGATAAGAATGCTAATACCTGTTGGCATTTTTATTGAGGCCGATCGCCTGGTATACAGCTCTACGAGGAACAACATTCAGAGTGTCTTGGAATTTCTGTCAAATCACAAGAAACTTCGCAGGCAGTCTTCATCACCTTTATTAAATTTTCTGGAATACTTTCACAAATCACTTACGAAGTCCTTGCAGATGATAATGCGGTGGTGAAGCGAGTTGACGCTGAAATACATAGCAATGAATTGCTTGTTTTGATTGCCCGAGTGCGTTATGCAAATTTCAACAAACGTTCGGCTAGTAACTAATAAAAACAAAATGCCCAAGAATATGACTATTAAAGAGATAGTTGACGTGCAGAAACGTACACTACAGATGTCGAAGTACGATACTTGATGTGTCCAATGACAACACTTGAAGAGACGAGTTTATTAGAAATACACACGTAGAGGCGAAAAACACATGATGACACACTCTGCGCAGAGTAGCAGGTAAAAAAGAAAAAAAAAAACGTGATCGGGAAGCACTTCTCAATATTCTCACTGACACCGGAAACACTGCAGACAACGGGCCTAGTACTTTTGATGATCATGTTTTCATGTATAGACTAATTTCAGTGAGAGGGCAAATGCTTATAAATGTTTTCGTTTCCCGTTGCTTAATGTTCAATTGCTTAAAGACGAAAGAGGTGTATCCTTCTACGAAAAAGAGAACACCATTCCAACTGTACTTGGTAACCCGGCTCCATCCGCGGAAAGAGTGCATTTGTTTTCTACCAAGCGCAACTGCACAAAATATTCGTCATGTTTTGTAGTAAAAGAGAAAAATAAAGAGAGCGCGACGCACGCCCGCGCATTAGGCTGCGGCCTCCACATCGTCACATCGGTTGTAGTCCACAAAAAAATTAATGGAATACTGACAGCTCTTTCCGCAAGACTCTCTAGAAGAGAGTCGAAAAGAGTTCTCATGATATTAGGTGATCGCAAGCAGCCATGGGCATCGACAACACTGTGTGTGTGGGGGGAGGGGGAGGGGAAGTGCGAACTCGTCTTGCATCGCGGCTGTGGAGGCAGAGGAGAGAGAGATAGGTGGTGCAGAAACAAATGCTGGTGTTGCTTAAGGGCGTCAACTGTCCCATTTGCACCCCCCCCTTCCGCCCTGCCGGCACTTATGCCCACTAGAACGAACTCTTGCTACAGCGATTTCTGGTTGTCTTCCGTGTGGTCCCCACTAATTTTACTCACTCTAATTGTATACTACCGGCAGGGTAGCCGTAGGAGAGATTTGAGAAGTAGCCAAGGCAGCCATCCTACATAAGCTTATGGCCAATTTCGTAGCTAAATAGAACACAAGATGGGTAAATGTATAGACAAATAAACAGAATCTTCATTGTTGAACCACACGTATAACTTTGAACAAGCAAAAAATATAGAAACGAGAGCACAAAAAATTTTTTTTTGCTTCTCACTTTGTCTGGATGTCACGGGCAAGCAAGAAATAAGTGAAAAAGGTATTGTGAGTTCCGTGCAGCTGCACATAGTTCACGAAGTCTAGATAAGAGTTCCCTCTAAAAGACAGGTCAATTATGGGGATGTAAAGGTAACAAGTCGGTAGGAACTTTAAACAATGAAGTAGCTTGTATTTAGAGTTTCAAGCCAAAATAATCGGTAGAGTTTCCACGACACCAGCCCGAATTCAAATGGTGAAGCCTAGTGAGGATGACCAAGTCGGGCTTTTTTTTTACGCATATCTGGTTTTGTCAGGTTTACACGAGAACGAACGGTCTGCATTAAAAAAAAAAACGGATCGCAGTGTCACCATATATGGTGAGCCACACGTTTACAAAAAAAAAAAAAAACGCTTGCAGCTTTGTCTCTCCGTCTTTCCATGCGCGGTTCACGCTGTCTTGGGGTGCCTGGGTCATACAATACTGCTGGAGGGGGAACGTATAAGCGCATCGGCTGACGCAACAGAGAGGCTCCGGAGACAATCTATTTCAGTCACGAAAAACAACAACAACAACAAAAATGACCACTAAATGTGCCAAAGTAGAAGTTCAATGTAGCCGAAGAGCACCCATGGCACCCACACAAATCTTTCGTCGCCAAAACGACATCGTAACATCGTCTACATGGCGCAGAAAAGCTACCATCGGCCACCCTTGTTACCGGATAACCAACTAGAGCGAATTTCTCGCCATAGCGAAGTTCTCCTTCAATCCTTTTTCACTTGGGCTCCCCTCCGTACACGAGCCGATACACGCTCGCTGCCACCGGCGCGGCCAGCGGGTTGGAGACGAGCAACTTGGGCGCGGCGTACGTCGTGGGTCTGTAGACGCGCGCCGCGTCGTCGGCGTCGCCGAAGTAGTAGTCGGTGCCGAAGTCTTCTTCGTAGGGCGAGACGCTGTGCGGCACCCAGGACGCCTCGAGCGTCTGGCGCCGCAGGAACAGCGACGCGGCCAGCAGCCCCAGCGCCAGCAGCGCCAGGGCGACGCCGACGCCGAACGACGCGAGACCGCTGATCCAGACCACGGGGTCGGCGGCGTACACCAGGTGGTAGGAACAGAGGACCACGCCCAGGCAGGCAGCCATGGTGCCGGCGAAGAGCAGCACATTCAGGTAGGACGGGTAGCGAACCCGAGCCCTCAGGAGCTGCTCCTTGTCGGCGATAGTCATGGCCGCTGGTCACTCCTGCGGCTAGATGAAGTTTAGTTAACGTTATCATCATTATCAGTCTACTTTGGCAAAGAACCTGTTTAACATCTGGCGGCAAAGGCAGCTTTAAAGTGGCACCAAACAACAACAGCAGCAACAAAGATTGGCCCGTGTGCTCAGATTCGGGTGCACGTTAAAGAACCCCAGGTGGTCTAAATTTCCGGAGCCCTCCACGGCGTCTCTCATAATCATATAGTGGTTTCGGGACGTTAAACCCCACATATCAATCAATCAAGCAACGAAGATTGTTCTCTTATAGACAGACTGCCCGTGACGTTGTGCCCGAAGCTCCGTAACATACTGGTGCACCCACATGGTGGCCTTCATGACGTATAGGCAGCATAATCGCATCGTGCTTGACCTGCTTCAATATAATGATTTGTGGGGTTTAACGTCCCAAAACCACCATATGATTATGAGAGACGCCGTAGTGGAGGGCTCCGGAAATTTCGACCACCTGGGGTTCTTTAACGTGCACCCAAATCTGAGCACACGGGCCTACAACATTTCCGCCTCCATCGGAAATGCAGCCGCCACAGCCGGGATTTGAACCCGCGACCTGCGGGTCAGCAGCCGAGTACCTTAGCCACTAGACCACCGCGGCGGGGCGCTTCAATATAATGACCATGTGGCCAGAATTTTATTAGCCTCTGTCTGCCAGTAAAGAAATAACTTGCAATTGATATAACGACAACACTAACACGTTACGCCACGAAACTTGCGTGTTCCATGCGGTTCCCCAGCATAGCGAGCATACGCATGCGTCTTCCTTCAGGAAGGGGGGACGGGCGAACGTTCGTCATAGCTCCAACCCCTACCTATTATGTTGATATAGGTAGGTGGCTTAGCGCCCCCCTACTTTTCACAGGTGACTAGGAAGGCGCCCCCTTGCCACTCCCCCCCCCACACTCTGTGCGTACGCCTATGTGAGCGAGAAAGGTAGCAAAAGAAAATGCTGATGGCGACGCCACGTTGCGATTCTCGCACGAAACGTCGTGACGTCGTAGATCTTCGTAGCTTTAGAAGTGTTGCATAGTCCCTAACAGGTAAAGATAAGATACATGGAGATAGAGGAAAAATAGATATAAAATGCCAAGTTTCAAGCAAGATATTTTGAACTCACTCGCTGAAACATGAAAAATACGAATTGAAAATGCCACGACATCACGCCTGTAGATATCGACAGCGACATTTAAAAATGAAAGATTGGCTTTCACCTATTTGAACAAACCGACGGTGTTGAAATTAACGATATTCGAGTTATCAAGGTAAGACTTCCGAATCTAAGCTGACGCACTGTTTACCTTTAGTGTCCTTTCAAGAAACATAAGATGCGAAGCCGCTTTTTGACTCACGTATTTAACACCGTACGTTTCTTCGTCCATACGAACGCTCCCCAACGCGTTCCTCTCGCCGCAGGCGTTGGAGCGGTGCCAAGTAAGTCACGCCCCAGATGCGCGTTGACGTCACGCTACCCTCGCACGCTTCTATCGCAGGTGTGCGCTGACGTCACTCCCTCACCCTCAGCACGCTCGCTGCAGCGCCCGCAGCTTCCGGCTCCTTCACCCGCTCGCCACACACTTCTCTCTCGATTTCCCCTCTCCACCGCCCGCAACGCTCGACCGCACGTCGAGTGACAACTGTCTTTCGGCTCGTTTCTCTGTGATGAAACTTACACGAAACCCAACCCGCCTCCCGTGTCCGCATTTCAAACAAACGTTCACTCGAGTAAACGCTACACCACGTTTCGCTTCAAACCGTTCTTCCAGCACCCGCGTCAACGCCCGTTTCTACCGGTTCAACGCCGCGCGCATCGCCGCTGCTGCGCATTTCGTCAGGGTTCCCTTCGGGGAGATGGTCTACAATTTTTTTAGCCTCTCTCACCAATATGTTTCTCGTGAAACATAATCTTCCGTCTGCAATCACGCGTACATATTCCAGGATTCTGGACTCGTGCCGGTTACGATCACATGTCTGCATTTTTTTCGAAAATAACGCATCAGGCACGTAAAAGAACAGCGCGTGGGGGCTGTCTCATCAAAAGGAAATGCCGCCCACGCTCGAGCGCGTAATTTACGAGCCTGTGTGAAATACAGCCACTGCTTCGGGCTCGCTTTTTTTTTTTAGCAGAAAGCAGCCGATACGCGACTCCCTGAGTGTACCTAGGCGTGGGCAGGATGCGAGTGTAAATTTTACGCGCGCGTCTTTCACCCTTTGATCTCGACCGCCATAAACCGTTCATGTTAGGATGCAGCGCGTTATCGAATATCTTGTAATTACACATTAAAATGTTAGTGAGACACCCTCACCTTTCCTTGTGTCATAGTTTAGGTTAGGAGGTCATGGCGTTACGCCGCATTTACAACATTATCATGTCTTTATCACTACGCATTTATCAAGCGTAATATGAGCACATCCTTAAAGAAGGGATGACACAGGGTCATAACACACAGTCACCGCATGACGCGTGTCATGCAGTGACGCAGTCACACAGTGACGTTTTCGTGTCACGAAAGACATAGCTGTAAAACTACCCCGAAGTTCAAAAATAGTTATCAAGAGAAATATGTGCACTTTTGCTTTGTGAACATGCTGCCGCAAGAATTTCGCGAATACGCACTGTATTAAGGAAGTTAGAGGGGTTAGAAATTCGGTTTCAGCTGGAATCCTATGAGTTTTTATCTTCTAAAAAATAAAAGGCGCATAAGCTCAAGCGCACGAACATACTTCTTTCGAAAACCGGATCATTGCGGATCCACTCAGGTAAGCGCGTGACATCGTATACACCAGGTGTCCTTCCGTTTCACGCTTCCATTTTGAGGAATGCGGTAAACAAATGGCGGGATGCTTTGCAACAACGCTTGTGCCAGATCGGAACGTACTCGAAAAGAGAGACATAGACATAGAAATAATGAAGCCTTCTTGCAGCCATAGCCATGTCGGCCTTTCACGGAGAGTGCGAATGACGTTGTTTTCGCGATCCGTGGATCGGGTGCTCAGCGTTTCCAGTAGTTCACGCACGTCATGTCCCAGTGACGCGGAGTGTGCATTCTCGTTGGGATCATTTGCCGGACGTATACGCAATAAAGATTTTATGGCCGTGCTACCACCAGCAAGTCAATAAAGGTGGCAACTCTCCGAGGTATTGCCCCTTCGATTAGCGTGCTCAGTGGGTATGCGTTATATGGGGCGGAGTTTTTGGTGTCAACCATTGCCGGTGATCACGAGGATGCTCACAAGTCTGCTCCATTGTCAACGATTGAGTCCGTCCACTAATCTCTAACCATTGCGTTTGTATTTGCAGTAGTTTAATTAGCGTATTGTTGTACTTGCATATGTTTGTATATTTATAGAAGCAACGTATTCCACCTCGCTTTATTTTGTTGGCCACATTTGTACCCTGATGCGCTTCTGCAGACCTGCGCAAATCCATTTGGGGGATCGCAGTGACTGTAAATAACGAAATTCGTAAACGAGTGGAGTATAAGAACAGTCCAGCTGAACAATGACACGATTATATACAACAACAACAACAACAACAACAACAACTACTACTACTACTACTACTACTACTACTACTACTACTACTACTACTACTACTACTACTACTACTACTAATAATAATAATAATAATAATAATAATAATAATAATAATATAGGAGGTTTTACCAGCCAAAACTACGATATCATCACGAAGCGTGCCATGGTGGAGGGCTGCGGAAATTGGGACATCTATAGTGTTCTTTAACGCGCACTGGCGTCGCACTGCCCACGCACCTCTGGTTTTTCGCCCTGCATCCGATATGCGACCGCCGCGAACTGGATCGAACCGGACACTTCCGAATCGGCAGTCGTGCGCCGAAACCACAGCGTGGAACAGCGGCGGCGACTGACAGTGCCACGATTTCGACACTATATATCCATTGCAAATACGAGGTCCCACACGCTGCGCAGCTATAGACGGGTGCACGGCATGGAGTGTGGTGTACACGACACTTTTATTTATTTATTTATTTATTTATTTATTTATTTATTTATTTATTTATTTATTTATTCATACTGCAGACTACAAAACGTGGTCCAAGCAGGACGGGCAATCAGGAATCACAAAAACAGAGGACTAAGATTGATCACGAGCGTAATAAATAACAAAGTGAGTAAGATGAGGAAATATATACAGTGCTACATCAACAAATATACACTATGAGACAAACATACATACTATGCAAGGCGGTCACACTCAGACAAGGTGTTCCACTCAGACACTGTTCGTGGAAAAAAGGGAAATTTATATGTATCTGTTCTAGCAAAATATGGTGTAAAAGATTGCACTTCCATGCAATCGCAACGAGCGATCGATTTGCATCGGTTGCCCGAAAAGCCGGATTCCCGCGAGCGTGCACGAGGCGTCACGTGACCTTCCCCGCCAAACGAAACACACGTCATCCGCTAATCACTCGTCGCATTGGTGGTTGCGGGACATAGGTTGCAGATAAGATAAAAAACATCAATGCTATATATATATATATATATATATATATATATATATATATATACTTAATTTATACTTCCCTTATATCGGCTGCGGCAGTGCCATTTCGCAGAAATACTCCTCCGAAATGCTCATAAGCTCACAGCGGCAGCAAAACGACCGATAAAGGAGACACGCTTCGCAAGTGGGCAGTTTTTGAAACACGTCGCAGTATACTTATCTATAGTCGATATTTTGTTTTTCCTTAGCTTCGAAAATAATTAAAACAGAAAAAGCGGCAGACGTGGGAAACTTTTTTTTTTACGTTGAATATGACATTGTAATGGCATCGTGACACGAGCACACGTGCCCTTGCGGCTGGTTCATTGAAGCTAAATCAATGCCAGCATCTTATCGCTGGCTGCTAACTCATCTGACATTAATGACACTATGAAAAAAAAAAGAAGAATCAGGAGGCCTTGCCTTATAAGAAAAATGGGGGCAAGCGAAG